AAGCCGTATAGAAGATTTATTCAAATCTCTTAAAGATAAAACACTTTATCGACTTAAACCACTTTGAAATAAAATATATCAACAAATCCCATAAAGACAAGGAGGTGCCACCCATGGGATAAGCCTTCCCTCAAAAGGTGGCATGCCACCCAAGATAGGGACTTATGGGCCCCACCTTCTAGAATATGGTGGGCCCACGTGCATAATAAGCGCCCATAAAATTATATATATATTAAAAATAATAAAATAAATTTTATAATATTATTTGAATGTTTAAATCATTAAAAATCAATATCTTTAATTTTATAAATCCAAATATTAAAAAAACAATATCCAGAGGTTTATAAAAATTCAAATAATAATTCTAAAATAATATCTACCATAAGAAACATCATTAAATTAATTTGATGGGAGAATGATCCATATGGTCAAAGAATTAAATCAATAATAGGGCACTCTACCTTCAACTGTGGACTACAGACCGCGTTTGATTTATCATGCCGACCCAGTGTTGCCTATGAACTACAGTCTAAGCAGGGGCTCATTAGTGGGTCACCAAAGTTAGGCCGATGAACCAAGGGATCGCAATCCCGGTTTGTGGATTTCAGGTTCTCCCCTAAAGACGAGTTAATGTCACTTAGACCTGATGCCACCACAGCTCTATGATGCATAGGGGTATCTCTCGTACATGCATATGTTTCACCCTAAAAGGTGGCTCGCTCGCTTTCCGAATGGTCTATCAATATGCATGTCGTGTGATGGTACATGGATGAGGCTTTGGCCCCTGTCTCCGTAGGCCACCATCACACACAATGGTCACACAGTCCCTCGGCTCTCTCATCCAGGCATACTTCGACCTCATCAAGGGATAACCCACTAGAACCCTCCTTGGTTTATTTTCCATGTCCAGGCAATATAGGTTTTCCCAACCGACTAGCCTAGACTGTCAAGCACAGTCCGGTATCTGTAAACCTCGTTTGCATGGTATGGTCTATGAGGGACTACACTCTCACTGAGTCTATGATCCACTGTATCAAATGTCTCTTCACAATCACTCATGAGGCCTTTAAATGCCATATAAACGCAACAATTTTAATGTTAAAAAAACCTTCTAATTGATCGTCTCGACAACAAGATGTATGAATATGAGAAAAAAAAGAAAGATTTTGAGTCCAAGAAATAGTGCATCTTGCAACACATTATCTAAATCGTTCATTTTAATATTTTCATTTGTTTATAGACCTACTTGATTTTGACTATTTTTGGAATGTAAAATTATATAATTAGATGTAAAAATAGATTTTGAGATAATCCTAATAATGTTTTTGTAACAATCCTAAACTTTTAGAAAAAAAAAAAAAAAAAAAAAAGAAAGAAAATAAACTTTTAATACATGATGATTAGTTTGAACATGATGGTCCTTAGGGACCATCTCTACTTTTCAAAGCTTTTCGTTTAAAAGCTTCTTTGCTTCTTTGCGCTTGCCACGTCCACTAAAGGACGTGGGCTTTAGTCGTTTAAAGCGTAACCTAACGCTCACACCTGTAACGTAATAAAAGAATAAAATAATATATTAGTAGAATTTAAATTCAGAGAGATGAGGACTCCTACCTTAGAAAACTTTGAGATCTCTCTCTGGTCGAAACACAATGAACTTTTCTCTCGAACCGAAAATTTTTATCGGAAGCTCCCTCTCAAATAATTGTGGGTAAGTGACATCGTCTTTCTGAAAAATAGTCTATTTTTAATAAATAGTGATATTTTCG